TTGAATAACATAGAATTAAACTAATATGTAACTGTAAGTTGAAACTTGGAGGGCAATCAAATTGTAAAAAGGCAGAAAGTCGACTTGATATTGCAACATGAGCAGATCAGATGACAGTACATTTTGTGTTCTCCTTCCCCCTCTTTTTCCCCCACATCCCCCTCTACCTTTTTTACTCCTTACCTTATCCCTAGTTTTTTAAAATAAAAAAAATTAAAAAAGAATAATTAATAACATTATATTAAAAATGCATGACTGAAACCAGTTTTAGAAGCAACAAAATATAACCTGTCCTATTTTAAAACCCCTCTGAGTCAGTCAATCACTAAGGGAAAGGCTGCCTAAAGAGAAAGGTCTTCGCTTGCTTGTAGAAGGACAGCAAAGAGGGGAACTAGCCGGCCTGGCTTCCTGTTGGGAGGGAATTCCAGAGTCTGGGAGCAGTGACAATCTATTACTACCTATTATTATCTATAATCCATATTTATTTGGCATTTTTAATTACTTCAGGATCTGGGACGACACCTCCCAAATCAGATCGGCTTTTTCTGTTTGCTACTGAAACCCAAACACTATCAGAGTGAATTATTCAGACGAAAACAGGATCGTGAGGGGAAGGTGACATTTCCTCCAGCATGATAGATAGAATATTTTGATTAGCTCAGATCTGGGGATGACAAAGCAGCTTATGTTAATAAATACCAGTTTTAATTAGGCATCTGTGCTCACAGTCTAAATAAAACCAGCAGCTCCCATTAAGTCACTGAGGCTTCAGCTGGAGATATTTTTTTCCCCTGCGTGAACTGTTGAGGAATCAATTTTTGGGGTTGATTGCTCTTTTATCCTGAGTTTTGAGATGATGCTTGGTTGAAGGACAAGTCCTTATATTCCTGGTGGAGATATTCTGGATGTTTTAATTTTGTAAAAACAACAACAAACAAACAACTTTACTGGATTCTGATTATAAAAAACACCTTATATAAACCTACTTGGCTATTCTCTGCTTTTTTTGTTTCAAC